TATCCAACGAATCTGAGACTAAAACTTGAGAACAGCTCATGGGCCATGACCTAGAGACAGTTCAATTCAGTAGTTAGGGGAATTTCATGTGAAATCTGAGTTCTGTAGATAATTTCTTCACATTGAATCAAATATCTTTTTCTTTTCTCAGGCCCATTCAGAATAGCTCCCTAAAGCTACATCAACACGCTCACCTCCCTTATAAAATGCAAACAATTTCCTTCCCTCTCCTGCTTCTCAACAATGAAACAATATTACATACAGAATAAGCTTATTATGCCACGAAACTGCAATCCATTTCAATGTCCATTGCACAAGTATCAAAACTTAAACTTTCTACATCTCTCCAGGTTTGAAATCGAGATCAAGCCAGGAAATACAAAACATTTATTTTAAATCAGCAACAAAAGTATTTCATTTGAAGACTTTTAGCTTCATCTTTACAAGAAACTCTCTCCTAACTCCTACACTGGCACAGTCAGGATAAACTGATTGACCATACTGAATAGATAACTTAGAAGACAAACTTGCACTCCTCTCATAGAACAATAGCCATTTCAACCCTGAAAGAAATAGTGTGGTAGCAGCTTCCCAGGCCCTCCCCATCACGCTTCTGTGCCTGCATCTGCCTGCCCAGTTCCATCTGCCCAGGGAGGTTATAGAGTCTCCTTCTCTGGAGACATTCAAAATCCATCTGGACGCGTTCCTGTGGGACCTACTGTAGGTGATCCTGCTCTGGCAGGGGGGGTTGGACTAGATGATCTTTTGAGGTCCCTTCCAACCCCTGACATTCTGTGATCTCTACGCCCTTCCCTTAGTGGAAGGGCTCGAACTCTGCATGCTCCCACCTCTCATGCTGTGAGTCTCCCCGCAATTTCTTCCTTTTATTGAACTGTCTTTTTCCTGGATTGTCTTTGAAAGTCTCTCATTGCCCAGTCGTATCAGCTTACTGGAAAAAAAAAAAAAAAAGCTTCACCGATTTCACCACTGAGCTCTGGGTGACCCACTCTGGCCATCTGTCTCTTCTCACTCTTTTTTTGAAAGCGTGATATGAACAGATAGTATGAGAAAAGGGCTGGGTTTCTAAACACCTGCCAGAGGCAGGCCCTGCAGCTTAAACTGCCAGCACTTCATGTAAAATGTACTGCACTAAGCTGGGAACAAATGCATTTATTTAACAAACAAGTTCAACACAGGGATAAATCTTTCAGCCTTAAATCATCTGCAGTCTCCCTCTAATGAGAACATGAGGCTTTTAGACTATGCAGGATAACTTTCTGCCCAGCTGGTGTTCTCATGGGCTATGATCTTGGCTCTGACAGCAGAGAATCCCTATGAGGCTGAAAAATGAGTGTGCGTGGGATCTAACACACCAAGATGTTGAAGGTCACCAATTCCAGCAAAATTCCATTTTATTTCTTCCATTTATTTTCTTCTGAAAGTTATTTTCCATGCTCCTATTTGATTTATGACTGGTCTGACTAGGTCAAGTTGAAAAAGGTTCTATTGATGCCTGAGATGGAAGGACTTATTTTCATAGGAAAAAGAAATATTAGAAGCAGATGATTTCTTTGCTAAGGAGTATAAACACACTGAACTGTGATCGTCCTTCTCTGCCTGGCCTCAATTCCACAGCTTACAGATCTACAGCATTCAGTACCAACAAGATGGTCCTGTGGAAAGAAAGGCTTTAACACTCTTTTCCTCCATGGCCTCCTACATTTGGTGCTTCTTTGCCAGCAACCCCTTTCATGAATACCTAGACTGGGACTGACCACAGCCTCCTAACACATTTTTAATGCCATCTAAACAGCACTGGAGGTGTTACAGATGCCTATTGCATCACAAAACTTCATTGCAAAGTTTCTTTCATTTCCTCCCGACTCCTTGCTGTTCTTTCACACAATGCCCTGCATCTGTCACTTGCAAATGATTCATCCTATTTCCCTAAAAAGGCCTGAAGAACAATCTACTTTGAGATTTTTCAGTCAGAAGATTCATTTCAGTACTTGCTCAATTTTGACAGTTCTCTATGAGTCTGAAGAAGCATATTTGTTTGTTCAGCGCCCCTTTGAAACGATGTTAATTTCAGTAGCTGCACTTGGTCTAAATTGGAGATGATAGCAGCATAAACCTGTTGTGGTTTACACTGGAAAAATGAACTCTTCAGTTATACTTCAGATCCGTGTCCCAAGTATACTGAGATTAATACTAATTAAAGTTCATCCTGTAGTGAAGCAACATAGGCTTTAGCCACCACTCTCACCTATTTCATACAGTAGCTTTGTTTCAGCTTCTAACAAAAGCACTTCTGATAGTTTTGACTATTTACTTTCTTTCACTTCTCTTCTGAGTATTCCAGGTTAGCCTGTTCTCAGGCTATTCTCAGGCAAGAGAAGCCAAGAGTTTCAGAAAGCAGGCTTTCTAGCTGCTTTGATCATTCTTTCTCAATTATATTATTTAAACACAATTTATTGATCATTACAATAACCTCATAAACTCTAAGATGGAACACTATTTTACAAATACCAGCCATGAAAGTATTGCAATAATGAGTAACATGGCAGGTTTTCATGACACTTTTCTAGACATTCCTAGCCATGACATTCTGCATTCAGTTAAATTTAATGTAGAGAGGATGTGCATTCAAATATACCCCAATGAAGATGTTTTCCGGGACTTAAATAGTAGCACAACTACAAAATTTTCCCTATTTATTCTACAAAGTATATGTAGTGCTGCTTCTTGCTAGTTTTTAACTTCACTCCAGAAAAGACTCTTCAGATAGCATTTCTTTTCAACAGCCTACCTTTTAAGAATTATGTTTGCTACTGATTTCTAAGCTTCTATGGCATAGATAGTAAGTGTTGCTTAAAGGGAGCCTAAAAATACTTTTCTAATATTTATGTAGAGGAGAGCACAAAATCATGAAAAATACATGAAAAACTCAAGGCATACACATCTACAATGCTTTTCCATCTTCCTCCATGGTAGGCAGTTACTCTTCTCAGTATTATTAAGGCTGTATTTTTAGACCTTGAATTAAAGGCACCCAGTTTAAAACAGTGCATGCCAACTATATCACAGATATTTCCTCAAACACAGTGCAAACAAAAGCCATGGATAAAACAATTTTTTTAATAAAAGCTTAGTCCCTAATGTGTTTGATACCATCTGACTTGATCAAACCTCTGTTACAGCGGTCTTTAGTAAGCTCACTAGTGAAAATACAGATTGGAGTTACAAGCGTTAAGGCAGTGCTCAAGGAAACTGAGCTAAAAGAAAAATTAAAACACACAAGGACTAAAGGAGGGAGCAAAAATACATTCCCCACATGGCAGTCAATGATTTATAGAGAGATCTAATTTATTTTGAAAAGCAGGTAGTCAGACACCCATGGAAAGTAGATATATTTGACAGTTAGGTAGTGGGTTGGTCACCTAACATTTTACTTGTTAAATAGGATAACCAAAAGTTCTAGAAGGGCTTTTTGTATATATGAAGGCACCAGCAGAGAAACATCACAAGAAATCACCAAGCTAAACTCACCTATTAAACCCAATGTTTACAAAATAATGATAATTGGTCCAAACTTTATACATGTTTTTGCCAAAAATACACCATGGATATAAATGTATTTGTTATATCAAAGCAGCCCACTAGAGGTCAAGTTACACCGAGCAGTTCAAAATATATTTAGTAATAAAGTGAAGAGTTTAGAATCACCTAGGCTGCCACATGCATCTCAAAGTGACATGTCTTTTAGAACTTTTGGTTAGAACAATAAAAAGCTCATCATATGACGGTTGGTTTACAAAAATTAAATAGTTGTTCCCATCCAATTAATGGACTGCATTATTTGATTGGAGAAGTTTTCCTTAACAGAATACCATGGCACAAAGATTGTTAGCTCAGTTTTAGACCACCTGCTATGATGCTTGAAAATGGTGAAAATGGCAAGCTGAACTAGAAACAAAACCTCAAGACTTTTTATCAGTCTTCTACACACTGGTGATATGACAGAAGAATTTTAATGCAAAGAGATAGATATTTTTGCATCCCTCTGTAGCAAAGTATCACACATCTGATAATACAGCAGGATTACAGAATCTTATAAAACAAAATAGATAATGGAAAAATCCCATGTCTAATCAGAAATCCTATAATAGCATATTGTGAATGCAGAAAGAATACCTGAAGTTAGAATGGTTTCCAGACATCTGATTTGTGAATGTGTGATGTCCAAACACCAAAAAAAGATATTTCATGATTGTTTGTCCTCTGTACAATAGCCAGGCTTCATGTAATTGTGCTGTCAGTTTGCTTTGTAAAGCTCCATTTTAAACTTAATTTACCTATTTCCCATGTAATTCGTTCACCCACTTAGAGAAACAGAAATGTTTACAATCACAGCTTTCTGACTGCTAAACAGTTTCTTGGCTTATAGGCAGCTTGTAACTCAAAGCAGCTTCCCAGCAGAAAGCCACTTAAAATTTTACAGGAAATTGTATCAGCTAGAATAATATACCAAGATGATTTAATATAAATCAGGATGAAAAATATGAATGGTGAAAAACTGTGTTTGCCTGCCTGTTTCTGTGAGGAATCATAGCAAAAAAAAAAAAAAATTCAAAAGAAGTTTTTACTCTCCACTTCTGTACAGAAAGGAGAGCCCTAATGACTAGTCTGCATCGTTTCTGCAGTTACCCTCTGAATGCTTCAAATTAATTTGCAAGCTGTATGTTGTATTTCCTGAACTACCATGAGGAGTTCCAGACTTAGGGTTGGTCTAAAGATCACAGTATATAACCCCACAGCCACTGGATTAAACTGCTTTCACCTAGTCTTTCTGCTTCACTAGCTCCAGATGCTTAACTCATCTTGTGTTTTTAATTAAGGTGGCATAAGGAAATTGCACACAGAACAGAGCTCTCTTTGGACTATCTACTAAAAGACTCAAGTGTTCCCAAAAGACTCAGAATTGTTTTACGAGATCTCACCTCCTCAACCATGTGCTTGACTTTCTTCTGTTGGCAGTGGACCATATCATCCAGATGTTTGATTCTCTCTCTTAGGCTAGCTGCTACCTCTTCCAGATGCTGTGACCTAGCAAAACACGGAAGAATTAAGCATATATGTGGGGAGCTATGTAGTATAACCAAAACAAGAACAATCCCACCATAAATCAGGAAGACTAGGTCAAAAGGTAGGCAAGTCAAACTCCACTGACAGATGTCAATTTGTCCAAAGTACATTTTAATAGTAGTCTTAGTTGAAGTGTCTCCACCCAAGTTAACTCACCTTTGACTTGCATACTGGCATGCTTACTCAGAGCCTGATGTGCTGACAATTAAACAATGTGACAAAGCTCATCTCCTTAAGATGTCTGTTTTTCCTTGAAGTGAAGGGCATTTAAACAACTAGGTCTTTATCATCAGAAAGATACATTTATCCCATCTTACCACCTGCAAACTTTTTGGAAACACATACTAAAGAAAAGCCAGGAAGCATATCTGCTGGTGCTCTTTTAAAAGCTCTCCTCCTCAAGGTAAGCCTTGAGTCAAGGATTTGGCATAGTTGCCAACAGTAGCAGAATGCTAACTAGAGTAGTATTAACTGTGTAAAACAGAAAGTGAACGGCCACAGAACTGCTGCCACAAGCTTGCCAGAAGAGTAGTTTTAAAATATGCAAAGAAGTGGGAAGCATTTTAGTAAGTTTTAGGTATGCTGACCATGGGATCCTCTGTTTTTGTCTGAATGTACAGTCTTGAAATTCTGCAAAGAAAGCAATTGCTTGCTTCCAAAATAAACTGCACTCCTAGGTTCAGGACTGGACAGAGTTTGAGAAGGGGAGGGCGGGAATCAAAAACAAAAAGACTTTTTTTCATCTTGCTCTATGCACAGCAGAAGAAACTGTCAAAGCTGCAAATAGAACAACCATTCTAAGACAAAGCAGCAGATGGCAAGCTGTATGACGATTCCAGTGAACGACTGAATTGTATGCTGTTCCCCTCCAAGAAAGAGTCTCTATTAACAGTTAAGTACTCTGCAGAACTGTAGCTGCAGCACTTTGACAGGACTCAAAAAAATCAGGGCATTGCTGCAGGTTTTTCAGTCCTGCATATTAAGGTCTCACAATACTGCAATTTACATTTTGGCTGAAATTGTAACACATATTTGGTCTCTCATGGAAAGATTCAGACTTTTAAGCACTGATAGCAATGAAGCAACGGGACATCTTTCCTCAGGTCAGGCTTAAGTGTCTGGTCAGGTACAGACAGGAAAAGAGAATATAAGAACAGACCAGCACCTTAATGCAGATTCATTGCTGTGAAAAGCTGTTATTACATTGAAACTGGATAAGCTGGTCACAGATCAATGCAACTAGGCAGTGAGATGATCTCAGCAGGGACCTCCTTTTGCATTTATGCTTCCTACACAACAGCAGAATGCCAAAACCTTAGAACTCAATTTCAGGGTTCCATGGAAATGCAGGTAGTAATAAAGTACAATTATTCAGTGTCTCTTTATAATTCATCTTTACCCACTCAAGTAGTGTCTTTGAGTGGCAGATGCAACTTTCACTCCAAGGGCAGTTTTGCTGTTTCAGTGCTGGATAGATTTTTCTTGAACTTTTGCCTTTGGCTGAAGCTTCCTTTTGCCTGGTCACAGAGTTCTGTCAGTCTCAAAGACGTAGTAATGGATGCATATGCCACCTGTGGGCAGAAATAGCACATCCAGGTGCTACCACACTGCTAGATCTTTATTCTAAGCCTTAAGCTTTCTAGAACAATCATTCACAGAGATCTTACTGCCAGTAATATCACCCTCACTTTCCCCAAATAACTGCATTGCTTATTTCTGCACTGTAATGCTACAGGATAGCTTGCTCCCACACCTTCATTTCGTTCATGTGTATATGTTAATGTGCACTTCATGGGTAGATCTGGTCCTCCTAGCCTCAATTATATTCTCTGCTTTCCCTCTTTCATACAAAAAAGACACCTCTGGCAGTTATATGCAAAACTCTTGCTCTCTTCAAGAGTTCATCTTTCCAAAGGGGATGTCCTAGAGCTTAATATAGGATACAGAATGTCTTTTCTTTTAAAACTGTGTTGAGCCATCTAGAAAGAGACAACGAAAATATTACTAGTCAGGGACATACTGCACTGAATTTAGGAATGTAGATTTAAGAACAATGCAACCCACAAATACATAACAACTTGTTCCATCTGAACCCTGCATGTGTGCAAACAACTTTTCAAGAAAGACGCATAGAAGTGGTTTTTGTTGCAAAAGTTAATCCTCTTGTCATTTTATATGTAAATAAAAAAATGCCAGCAGACTGCAGCTTTAAAGCTAGAAGAAGTAAAATTTAGGTGTCTTCAAAAACAAACCAATTCCTGAAGTTTGCTAGCAACATCAGAACTTCCATAGACAAGACATATCTCACCTTTCACTGTCAGAGTTGTTTTCAGATTTTGCTCCAGATATTTGTATTTCATTTAGTTCAAGTTGTTTTTGCAGCTGGTGACGTTCCTAAACAAGGAATATTATCCTTCAGTTCCCATGTGTCAAAATGTAAAGGCTTCACAAAGCATATTTCATTGCAATTCAAATGCAAATTTCATTGCAATTCAAATTGCATTTATGAAATTAAAATAGAAACTGAATAAGCAAAATTCATGCATTTCCTGTAGCCAAGGAACACAGAACGCATAATAATAAAATCAAATTCCCACTATGCATGGCAATAAGATCTGAGTTTTCCACTTCCTATTCAAAGAAGTACAGTTATACTTGAAACTGATCTTTTTTTGAATGAAAAGATGAGTCATCACAATATTTAACCATATAAATGTTAAATTTTCCATGTTATCCCTCTAAAAAGATCTCTCAATCCAAGGCTGAGTTAAGAGGTATTGCTCTATTTCCTTCCCCAGAATATTCCTGTTTATTTTCCAAGTGTCCACCAGCACAGTGCTCATGAAGTTCTATGAGGACTTGGGGACTGAGTCAACACAAATCAACGGAAGAGTTTGCTATCCACTTGGGGGTTTAAGAGGCATTCAGTTTTACTCTGCAAGTATCATCCAGATAAAAGCAAATTAAACGACCAACATGAAGAAACTCACCTGTACTTAAGAATTATATTGCAATCCATTATTTGCTGCATAATACAAGTTGTAGGCTGAAGCCCAGATGAAGTTAGTGGAGCTACTAAAGGGGCATATTAAGTTGAATGATTTATCTGTGTAATCACTAATTCTACTAATAAATTTGCAAGTGTTAAACAAAAACTGGCTCGATACAAAAGCACTAAACTAAGCAGCCAAGGCAACAAAACTGCTTACACAACTCTTTCTCAGTAACAAATATTTACTATACTGAAGTTGGTGAAAAAACTCTTCACTTGTAAGAACAGAAGATTGTGTTCCTTTCGCTTACTGGGATGCTCTCTGCTTCTCTATTTTAGATAGCAAGGCATAGATGGAATGGAAAGAGAAATGCCAAAGTATGTCTTTAGGAAGGGCTAGTTAGAGTGATGCTATTCAGCCTAATGACTAAACAATAACAGTCATTCTCAGTTAGGTGAGAGATCCCAGAAAACAAAGAGGAAATTTCACTGTAACTTTTTGAGACAGAAGATACGAAGCTTTTTCGGGTATCTCAACAAATGAGATTCAGATGCAGTGCACTAAGCAAGGAGAGGTACTGTAATACTCTTGGGCTTAACAATACATTAAAATAATAATCATTTGATTACTAATCTGAGTTTGATAAAAGGGAAAAAGGAAAAGCAGGAAATAAAAGGAAGCAATGCAAAGACTGCTGCAACTTATTTTACAGTTGTGCTGCCAGTGTCATAAGAGGTAACTCTCACAAAGCATTTCTACTTTCAGAGCTTTAAAAGTAAATTGTCATAAACTTGCTCTCAGTTACTTTCTGGCAAGGAATATTTATCTAGGAAGACAAGTAATTAGAAGCTTTTAATGCTAGCTGTAAAGGAAAAGCCTAAGTTTTGGATTAAAAGGCAGTAAAAATAATTTTTTCTTCTCAAAATATTCTGAGCCATAATAAAATAGTTATCTGCATGAAAGATTAAGTCATGGCTACACACCCACAAAAGCCCCTGGAAATATTTTAGTCTGAAGCTTTTAGTTTAGCATTTCATGCCCATGTGGAGAAATCTGGAGATAAAATTCCAGTCAGGACTATTAATAGCTAAATAGGAAGGTCTGTTCCTAACTAACACATTTTAATGGATCCTAAGAGAATTTGCATCATTTATGACTTCTACTTCATTAGGCTTAGGAGACCTTGCACTCTGAAGGAATACTATATGGTCTTTTTAAACTCTTTCTCTAAAATAATAGTTAATTTACAAAATAAATTTTGACATCTTAGGCAGCCTTGACAGTAAAGACCAATAGAAAAATAGAGAACCACTTAATCACAGTGTCTCCATGGCAGCCCACATCCATTTACTTATATGAACATAATAATTGAGATGCAAACAGAAATGGTATGTCACTGAGCAGGGTACTGAGTGGCAGACAAAAATTAAAATTAAAAACCCCACTCCGCCAGGCACTTCCATGTTTCCTTTAAACGTAGCAATCAACTAACTCTCATACCTCTTCCATGCGTTCAATTAGCCGGTCCAGCTCACCAATTCTCTGGTCTTTTTCCTGTATGCTTGTTTCTGTAATCTGCATCTTCTTATTTGCCTCTTCAATAGCTTTCAGAAGACGATTTGTTTCCTCCTTCAAATAAGAACATTTACAGTCTTACTAACATCCACAGAGCCAGGATAATAGCTTTTAAGCAGAGCTCAAAGCTTTTCTCTACCTTGCCCAGAAGTCTAGAAGAGTTGTAACCCTAAACGTGAATTCGCACAGAATCAAAGATTCAGGGCACTTTGATGTGGTTAAGTATTTGTAAAGCATTGTTATAAAAACCTGAGAAAAACTTTTACACGTTTCTTAAGATATTTGTTTTCCCTTTTGAGGATGCTATGAAATAATAGCTTAAGAAAACTGTGCCATTGCAGAATATAGCATTTTAGACACCAAAGTTTGCCACATTCAGCTTTGTACTTTCCTCACATATAGAGAAATATAAATAGAAACAGACTCAGGTATTTACTTTCAATTTCTCTTTAACAGTTAGAAAATGCAATAACTAAGTGCCTATAAAAAGGTTTTACTTGAAGGTGGAGGGAAACCAAGGGACAGGAAGAATTCTTGCTCTAGTAGCAGCCAGTGAAGTTGTTCGCCCTTCCCTTCTTAAACTATCTGTAAAATAAGACATTGTATTTTCTTCCTTTTTTTTTTTAGAGAATCAGAAGTTAAAAACCTCATCTTTTTCCATTTCAGATTTTGAAATCTACATTATCATTACCATTACTGTGTCTGAACACATTCTTTTCTTAGCCCTGCAACTCCAAAAGCTTGAAAAACATAGTAACTGTGGCATGACTAGTCACAGAGACAGAAGTGAAGGAACACACATGAACTTTGGAGTATTAAATGACTGAGAAACAACACCCAAACTAAGCTCCACTCTTGCGGACAGGCTATACATACTAGAAGAATTTCTTTCTCAGCTTTATGTTTCTGCTCCTCTTCTCGCATTTTTTCCTCATACTGACTATACAGTTTTCTTGTCATCTCTCTCATGACTTCAGCATTGGCTTCCTGTGACGATTCCACCTATGAGAGGGGAAAGTTGACGCATCAGTCAGGACAGCACTGCTAGCAGCAGGAGAAACAGAGCTGACATGATGTGAGAATAACATATTGAACTTCAGCTCCACCCTGTTAAAAATTTGACACTGCTGAAACAGATTTTCATTTGCATCAAGATCATTTACAATGCTCTGCCAGCATCCAAGTAATTTGAATTTGGAGAAGTTATCACTTCATCAAGCTTCATCTTCTCTGAATTTAATTAACCACTGCTTATCCAAGAGCAGGCTATTCCTCCTTAATGAGTCCTTCCATAAAAGCCTCCAAGTCACTTGGTTTGCTTCCCCATGAAAAGATACTGTTTCCCTCCATCTTACAAAAGCACAGATTAGAGATGGTCTAGACTCAGCTCCTGTTTCTAAATGACCATGAACATTCAAAGCCATAATTACTTTAAGCTGGACCTAAGTATATGTTGCTAACTAGAAGACACAGCTGTACCCTCCCTCCTCTCTCTTGCTTTTTTTCACATACTGCTCTTTGTGTAGACACAAGAACTAGGGTAACCACGGAGCAAAGCAGATCATGGAACAATCAAACTTAAAATTCATATACTTAAGGGTGTGGAAGGGTTAATTCTTAACCACACGACCAGAAACTTTACTACTGCTACAGGGAACAGGGCAGGAATGGTAATTCAGAGACAGGATTTCCCCCTTCTGTTCGCTCAAAATGCTGACTGAACCACACCCTCAGTGATTAAATACCAGATAGGATATTCACAGCTTAAACCCATCTACTCTGTAAATTGTCATAAAAGTAGAATAGCTAGTACAGGACTTAGTTCTCTTACTAGAGATGCTATAAAACAGATAAGGTTGTAGTGAAATGTTCTGGGTGCTATAAAAGTGTCAGGAAGAGGAGGAATATATTGTCATCTGGGAGAAGAATCAAGTGTTCTCTGCTGATTGCTACACAGTTACAAAATCCTTGATTCTCATGATTAAGAGTTTGGAGATTTGGTTGGTTTTTTCCACTTCAATACAAAGATTTATTAAACTCTGGTGCTTATCTTGCATGGTGGGAACAAGCTGGTTTACCACCCTGTAGGATAACAACAGTGTACTTCATCCTTTGTAAATGCACTGAGCTCTGAAGGACTCGACTACTGCAGTTGCCCCCTTTGGCACCTCACCCAGACCAACACTGGCGCAGAGGTAGTAACCTGCACTTTGGGAGAGGGAGAAGGCTTAAGTTTCATACAACATGAAACCTTGCACTTCTCGGGAAGCCTAAGAGAATCACATCATTTAGGAAAAGCCAGCAATCAAAACACAGAGTCCTTAAGATACACCGAACTGGATACGATCTCTGGCACTGTCTCTCCATCTTTCCTTTGCTTATAGCTTGAGCAATGAGGAGAGGAAAAACAAGCATAAAAAGGTACGTGCACCAGGGCATCTATTATAGTGCTCTTAAGCAACGTCTCAAAACTCAGTTATTGTTATGATTGTATAAATAAACCAAACCTACTTCATAAGCTAAGTGGGTGTGTTCTACCACCCAGAAAATAATCATGGCATACAGTAGTTACTGCTTTTCAACTGCTAACTTCCCAGATTCCACATCATCATCACCTCTGGAACTAAATCCCAAATGTCTTGGCATCTTCGATACCCAACTTTATGTTTAACTTTCAAACACAGCAATGAGGTATCTTACTTTACTAATTTTGTAATAAAGCCACAACTTGAAGGGCAAAATTTAAACTTTTTCTTCATTAAGGCAGGACCTGTACTCTGCAGACCTTGACATGCTTGAAGATAAGCAAGTCCTTAAGCATTCGGTTCAACTGGGACTTAACCTGCAGTTCTCTGCCCTTAGAACCAGACATACCTTTTCCTGACTTGTTAGTGCATGTACTTAAGATTACAGTGAAGTTCAAATTTCTGTTTTGAAATCTTAATTGCATCAGCTTTTCTTTCTTTTTTTTAATTGGTTTCCCTCTCTTTTTTCTTCCTGATAGCTTTGTTTTGTTTTGTTGTCTTTTAAATGAGATTTAAGGAATACATTTGGCAGACGAGTCAAGAAAATGGTCGAGCTTTCTGGCATGTAAAGCCTTCCAGTTTGCATTTTATTTCCTTGTATTTCTCCAAAATAGTTTAATTCTCTTTCCAGGACACTTGCTGTTACAGTATGTATCTCCTGACCATATGCTTCTAAGACTTAACAGATTACCTACTAAAAATTGTGCAATACCAAATAAACAAATTCAAACATCAAGAAATTCTTATAGCACTATGTAGAGTTATAATATTCCTTTACTTACAGCAAAGGACACTAATAACCATTTAATGGTTTGAGTCTTTACCTGCCAATACCCCTGAATGGTAATCCCATGTTATGGAAAAACTGACTGCTACCAGCTGAGATTCACAGGAAAATGTCAGCTCTAGGGAATGATGAAGGCCCAAAGAATGAAGAACCTTTTACAAATAGGGCCAAGGAATCCATTTAACATATTCCTAATGCCCTTGCTCTGCAATATTTTTAGTGGAGTTTATATACCGTACCTTCAATTTCAGTAACTGATTTTCAATTTGTGCCGTTTCCAGTTGCTTTTGCTTCTCTCTCAGCTTTTCCATAGATTGCTCATGTGTATGTTTTAAATTCCTTATTTGTTCCCTTATATCAGTGTTCTCCAATGTAACATCCACTAGAGTTTTCTAGAAGAAAGAGGCAAACCATGTATTAAAAATCACAAATAACTTGGTGAACTAATATAGGCAAAAGATTATAGGACAGAATTTGAGAGTTTCCCGATGTATCAATGCACTGTGAACACTTTTGCAAGTTTTTAACATTTAAAATCATGGCTCATGTTGTGTTTAGTTTGTTAAAAGGTATTTCCATGAGGAATATACTCAGTGACATTAAATCCTGGAACACTATTAAAAAAAGAAAGGAACATGGACACATTTCAGCATGAATGCTGCTTGCAACAATCTCCCTTTTCTCCAAGGATGATGCTTTACATATTAAATGCACTAAACTGAGAAAAACTGTTCCACACAAAAGAGTAGGAACATTAAACTGCACAGCTTAGATACATGGGAATTTGGAAGTCTTTATAACAGGAAATTCATTCCCCCTTCTTCTTCCCCCTAGATTTCACAGGTATGCAAAGTCTCACAAGTGTTTAGCACCCAAACATGCCACTTTCATTTCTGTTAACCAGTGAAGGTAGGAATAAGTCAGATGCACCATTTTGCACAATACAGAACAAATCACATTTTCATCTTAGATATTTCATAGACACGAGTAGTGGCATTAGTCTGCTGCAGCTCAGTCTCTCTTTACCGTACGCTATTTTTAACAGGTTTTTAAAAGCACTGGTGTTAGAATACTTTTTTCTTAGTTTCCTAAATTAGCTGCCTTAGATATCCAAGGCAATACTTTATGGACTTGTTTAGTGTTAGAATCTAGATTGTCATCCATGTTTTAGGTATGCTTTTAAATCCATGTCAGAAAAGGCAGTTGTCAGCTGTGAAACAGCTGTTAAAATGTACCTGCAAGTCTATTGATGCTGATGTCAAGGAGCTGTTCATTTCACTAAAGCTATCTAAGGCTGCAGCCTGCACTCGCACATGATTCTCTAAGGATTCCTGATGAGCATTTGTCACCTAAGCAGGAAAAGAAAAAAAAAGTTTTATATAGAATAATGATCAAGTTTACCTATTCTTTCAAAGGGAGCTAAAGAGGAGAAAGACTCCACAGTTAATTTTCACAGTTCTAGGATGCTTAAAATACACAGGCCTCAAATCATGCTCTTTCACCTCAGAAACAAACAAAAAAACCTTAGAATTCAAATCACCTAACAGAAATAAGACACAAGTATCTATGATTATTGCTAGTCTGTAATCACCGTAAAAGCTGTTCTTTTTGAAGGGACAAGAGGACACTTAGCAGATGTCTATTCAGAAAGTTTACACACAGAGTTGGCAGATTGTAAAAAGTCACAGAGTGAAAAGCAGAAGGCAGCAAGAAAAAAAAAAGAAATCTAGAAAGGTTTGAGTGAAGCATAGAATAGCCTTAATTAAGAGGGAACTCACTAATCAGGTATGTAAAAGAGCAACAGCAAGAAGACTTAAGGATGAACCAATACGAAGTAGGTAGGAGAAGTCAGAGAGCTTAGCTGTATCAAAATTTGTCATCTTCTGTTAGGTAGACACACATGCCTAGAAATTGGAGTGGAGTGGGGGAGGAAAGGCACAAATGATGTTATTTAAGAAGAGACCAAAACCCAAACAGTGTAAATAATTATGAGCCATCAATAATAAAGAGGAAAAAAAATGTTACTAATGGAGGCCAGCCCAGCTCGCATTCTTAGATGGACCAGATTTGTTTCTCGATAAAATCATAAGAAAGCTAGGGACTGATATGGAGAACAATGAGTATTTAGTAACCAAATCATACACAGATTAGGTCAAAGGGAGCAGAAGCCGAGTAGTTACTCTTAACGCTATATAGATGTGTGCTCACAAAAAAACCAAACAAACAAAGGCAGAAATGCTTTGGATGGATTAAGAAAATTACAAGATAAGAACTTGTGTGAAAAAACATACTGTCCAAGGCAGGATATTGGAAGTACAAATTTTATGAACAAAAACTAGTTCTGGAAATTAATGGGAAAAAAACATAGTGATTTGAAGCTGAAGCAAAGAGTATATAAAGGATTTTAAACAGGATCCCCAAATAATTGCATGAAAGATGAGAGGCATGGAAAATCAAAACCAAAAACCAACAAATCAACCAAAAACCCCACATATATTGTTAGGTAGAACAACACTTGTGCTTTCTTTTGGGCAGTCTAAAATACTAAGAGAGAGGAATGGCCTAGGCTGGAAGGGACTTTAGAGATCATTTAATCCAACCTGATAATGTTCCATTTATGTCAGAGGGAGTGCTTCATCAACTGCTAATTTGCTGCAGAACTGGAGATTCTGTCCGAGCTGGTCAGAAACCCTAAAGAGAAATGTTCAGACTCTGCAGGATTTCTCCTGGTCTGACAGTTTATAGAGAAATTTAGTTTTCTCTCCATCCTCCTCTCAAGTCAAGGTGATTTTTTGTTGGTTTTTTTTTTGGAGACTAGGTGTCACAGATTAAAAGTACCAGTTTAACAGCAAGTTCTGATCTTTATACACGATACAGCATGCAAGGAACTGACAGCCTCCAAATGAGGATGGCAGAAGGGCAGAAGTCAGGGTCCCGGTCCCTTAAGTCAAGATATATTTAGTGCCAAAACTTCACCTGAACCAGGGCTGTGAAAATCAATGCTGAAAATAAAATCCACAGCAAGTTTTCAGGGAGATATTTTTTGAACCAAAGAACTCAGCAATTTAATATGAAGGATATCTCTACAGACTACAGCAACTTTTATTGCTAAAGCAGCATGTCAGAAGAGAGAGAGGTCATTGAATGACCATTGAAAGGTTCAGTTAAGAACTAAAAGGTAAGTCATTTTTAGAACTGCCAAGCATTTTAATACTAAAGAATATTGCTACTTCTTTTACTACACTGTTTAAACAATAAAGTCAGTAAAACAGAGCAAAGTCTGTTGAAATGACACCAAGTTGTACATTACTCCTAATTATGTAAGCTATTTATTCAATTCACCTGGCAGCTTACTGGTACAAACGTCTCCACTAATTACCAATGCAGACATACAATGCTATCAAGATCATTCTTTTATTTCCAAGAAGCAGGCAATTAGTAATTTCCATATGCAAAGGTATCTCTGTCCTACTTTATCTTCCTCGATGGAAAAATAAATAAATAAATAAACAAATGAAAGTATATATAAAACAATTAACTGGAGTGGTTTCAGAAATTATTTCTAATTTGTTGAAGAGAAAAAAAAAAAAAGAGTAAAAGAGTTCCCAGG